ATATTTACCATAATATATCTAATCTGGTACCATAATATACGTACCGTACATTTTGAGTCTAATTTTGAATGTGAAATTAACGATAACTCCGAAGAAACCGGAACTACGATACCACTGATACTGGGTTCAGCCTATAAAGGACATATTATGCATTAAAATTACAAGTCAACTTTAATTATTTAGGAACAAGTCTATCAAATTTATATTGCATTGAAAAAAGTTTTAAAGTAGAGACTGCTTTTAAGAGTAAAAAAAATCTGGAGCTCGTACCACTTCTAATATCTTTCTGGGCATTGAAGTAGACGGATCAGCAAAATCACTACGTTCATCCTGCAAATGACACTGTAATGTTTGTATTAGATATTGTAATTTAAACATTTTTGAGATTACTTAAAGTTGAAATAAATTATATGTTATATCAAAACAGAATATTTGCTATTCATTAAGGAAAGCACTGAGATGAAAAGCCAGACAATCATACCAGAACTGGTAATAGAAGCGTTGGCACAGCATCCTGAAGCAAAAGGCGTCGTTTTTTAGTAAGCTGGAAGCTGTCAGTGGTAAAGTGACGAGAACATATGTAACTGTTTACAGTTGGAGTCCAATCTTTACGTTTAGTTGCACTTATCCAAATTTCCTTCATCTTGGCACATTTTGGAAACCTATGAAATAAATAAAACACGTAATGTTACTGTATTTTGATTCTCGCATCAGTCTGTAAGATATCACCTTAAATATCTCTTTAAAGATTTTGCTCGTTGCTGTTCTCGTGAAAGGCACATGCGATATACAGACTTAATGAATTTAATATTAATACGGTGACGTCCGTGGCTCGCAAGCACACGCAAAATAACCTAAATATAACCAAATTATTGATTTTGAAGGAACTTGGTAAATACTTATCAAATTTTATGCTAGCTACCACCCGCGACTTCATCCACGTTAACTTTAGTTTTTTGAAAATCCTAAAGAAACATGACATTTTTCCGTTACAAAAAGTATTCTATACAACGATATTTTATACCCTAGATACGACAACATGTACAAAATCGTGGCTGAAACGTGACCAAAAGGTACATTTGACGATTCACAGAGGTCCGTAAGATGATCGCGTGGTCAAAACAATGTAATGCATTATTTAAAAAAAAAGTCACCTTTAATGCATACGGAATAAGCTCTTAATTAAAACGCATGCATCAAAGATTTATGGCAGTTCAAAATGCAAGTTCCTAAAATTTTACGACTTATTGTTATATGCGAAAGAAAATAGACCTTATTTTTTTTAACTTTTCGCGCTCAATTCTGAATGTGCTGTTAGCTATTATAGCAGGTACAGACCGCGAAGAAAAAAGACGGCTATAGGGCGACGTATAACCGACCATGCTTTTGAGTATCACAAATATTTTATATTAAATCAGTTTATAGTAAGTATTACAATAAAATTTGCTTCAAATGCGTTAAATTTATAATAATAATAAAAACATTTATTTGGCTCAAATTATATAAATAACTTATTGTATTACATAAAGATGACTATGTACCAAATTATAAAAACATTAATTAGATACCTGTCGAAAAAACAACACTTTACGTACTATTAGTATTTTGACTTTTCATCGGTCCGCGCGTGACTGTAGACCAAGAAGTGCTTGAATAAAGTTTAAGCACTTCTTGATTGGGACACATTTTGAGCGCTCGTGGTCTATCTAGGGTATTTAATATCGTTAATTCCATGTCTTTATCTAGGTCATAAAGTATGCGCACTTAATTTCATACAAATCGGTTTAATCGTGTAATAGTAACAAACATCCATACAAATTTTCGGGTTTAAAATTTTAGTACGATATGATTAAAAACTGTTGGTTGTATACTCATGATATCTGTTATTGTATACGATGAAATAAATAGTTTTTATTTATTTTTTCTATTTCCGTAGCTGACAAACTTATCGATAAACTTACGGGTACAGACATGAGCTGCGACAAATCACTAGCAATACACGTGCCGGTGTGAGAGCGGAATAGCATATATGATGCAGCGCATGCGAGAAAGGGATAGTGTTAAAAGACATCAACGCGTTCACCAAAAAATAAATACAATTAAAAGCAACTTCATATAAGAGTATTTTTGTCTTTTTGTAATGCATTTAAACTTACCGGTGAAAAGTAATACCATCTTTTTGAAGACTGGAAGTTTTACTCCACTTTCCACATAATTTAATTGCACAGTACGGCATTTTTTCTAGTTTTTTAACGCAAAAACGAGAGAAGCACTTCTGCTAACGCTCGGCTTCGGAATGAAACGATGTATAGCGACGTCTGTGGGCGTGTCTCACGCATACGTAATATACTACTTAAGCTTGGCGTAAGCGCTTACCCTTGTATGCGGACTCTAGTGGGGGTGCTCCATGATTTTACCCCAACACTAACGATTGTAAGGTGCATTGTTGACAACACAAAATATCACCATTTTGTTTATATTTCCGTTTCCGTGCCACGCCAATTTCTGTTTTAATTTTGTTATATGGGTAATTTGGTTCATTTATATACAAGAAATTCGAGCTCATAAATTACGATTTGCATTTTTGATGAAATATCTCACACTTTTATTGCGAGATATCGTAAAGAGTAATGATTGTGTTTTTTCATTATGCCTGTTGCCAACATACAACTTTGCTCATTTTGGTATACAAATAAACGTCTAGTGCTACCTATCGGTTGATACCAGTCGACCGATTTTATTTATGCCAACAATTTGATATCAATTTGTCAATGTAAGTATCAATGTATGAAACTCGAAACTTTCGTTCGTAACAGCTTTACAACGATATTTGATGCCTTATTATAACACTTGCTCTCAACCCATCAATGCACAAACAGCTCAGAACCTTCATTTAACCAGTGCCTTATTGTTGAAACGCATTCAACAGGTGCCTTATAACATTTGCTCTCAATTTATCAATGTACAAACAGCTCAGAACCTTCATTTAACCAGTGCCTTTTACCATTGGCTTTGCCTCTACCTTTTATTTTTTAACACATATTATGATGTGATCAATATGAACAATTGAGTATAGTCAGATCACTGAACAAAAATAATTTTAGGATACCCATTCATGTTCAATGCAGAAAATTTTCATTGAATCTTTAAGTAACAAACCTCATTTAGAGAATTGCTGGACAGACATTCGCTCCACCAATCACTCGTCTCCCCCTCAATCACGGATATTCTGCTTCGTTATTGAAAGTCTCTCTGGTTCTAGGATCACTCCATTCTAGAGTGATCCCAGCACCTCCACCATGACGCGACCCTCTTGGGGGCGGGGCTGCCACATGCAGCCCATATCCGTGATACAAACGTATCCACCGTGGATCGCGAGATTTTAGACGATAGACACGTGACAAAGGGAGAATCGAGGGATGAAGGGTGATTACTTACCACAGATTATATTGTATGTACCTTCAAGCACCAGCAAATGTCCGTCCATGCCTCTCATCACTTTCTTACTCCATCTGTAAGTATAAATAAAGTTATGACACCACTGCGTGGTGCCACTAAGTCCCGGAGTCACACCATCACAACGGTGTGATTCCAGGATTCATAGAACACATAAATATTGTCATAAATGAGTATCGAGATTATCTGTAGGTTAATTACACATGTTAGCTCAACTATCTACGTTAGCTGTCTAAACGATGCGGAGATTTCCTAACGTGACTCTTTGCCATGTATGTCCTACGCTCCTGCAGAGCGGTGTGATCATGAGAGCCAAAACCGTTGCCTGCTCCCCACGCAACCCGTGCATGTGTGCGCCTACATGCTCGAGCCGCGTCGCCCACTTATATGGCACTACTATGGAACGTCTTCCATCTGGCTCAGCCACTATTCCAGCTCCGTCCAGACATAGCGCTGCGCATGCCATAACACTCTCTTGTGGCCTCTTGGTAGGGTACCCTAGGACTTGCCTCCTGCAGAAGCACAAGCCCTCCTCTTTTATATTGTTATAATTATGTCAATGCCACAGGCGTTTCACGCCCATACTCTCCGGCGCTTTCGCCGTGTGAGAGAGTATCTCTTTACCGTGCCGGTACCCACAGGTACATAGGTTAGTATCAAGTGCTCAGGTAAGCGCTTATTTTCACACATACAAACTTTTCATGAGATGCAAACCGGCTATCATTTATGTGAACTATTCTACTACTTAGCTTTCGTTATATTCCGTTGGTTCTCGAGTTCGTAGACAGGCACGCATTAGGTAGGCACATTTTTATGGTACATAACATTTACTAAATAATAGTACAAGGTAATCACAGTATATTAGATAAAATAGCACAACAAACAAGAAGAGAAAAAGGAGCGGCTTACTTGACATTGACATTAGTTATAGCGGCAATTGATATGTGTTGTCACCTCAAACATCACGACTGGTGTTGCCGTCGCGACACGGTCCAAGTAGCAGACGGGACTCGAACCCGCAACCTCCGCTATACGGGCGGATGCCAATTATTCTTGGACCACGTGGAATTGTTTCATGTAAAATTTTCTTTAGATTTAAACATTTAGCAGTTAAATGCCTATGGCTAATATAATGAAGTACATATACCGAAATTTAACCATTACCATATAACCATACCTCCTTGTCCTTGGCACAATAACCAAGGCGAAAGTAGACAAATCTTTGTCATATTAAAATGTAATATGAAGGAGATACTGACATGATTTCTCTCCTTCCATTTATTCCTCTTTTTTATTCTGTAAGGAGAATGCCAGGGATACACTATTAAAGTCAAATTTAGGTTTAGGTTTAGAAAATCATGCTAGAATCGGCACCACTATGTCTTTATTTTACGTCAAAATAAATATAAAAACTTAAAACCAGCATCTACATACAATTTGTTATGAAGGCTATAAGAGCTAAAAACGAGGCAAGCATTCTAATGGGAAAAAAGAATCAATACTAAAGGCTGTATGGACGTAGTATCCTTTGCCTCAGCATGAAAGGAGAATATTACAAATAAAACATCTTTGAGGTTATCTCTGTACACAAAAAATAATATTTTTTGGATTGAGGTTTAACTTGACTTAGGATGTAGATGTTGAGAATAAAACAAAATGGGAGTTAAAACATTTAATAATAACGGTTCAGACAATAAGTACATATTTCATAGAAAAACTGGTAGAAGTATTATAGAGCGCCGTCCAGTGTTTTCCCCTGATGGAGAGTAAGTTAATATAACCATTATAACAATCCACATTTTATATTAAAAAATAATAATTTTCATCCAGTAAAAAATATAAAAACTTGCATTTCCAGATTAAGTGTACTAAGTTTTAATTAACCTTTTATTTTAGATCCATAGCCACTATTGTTGAAAATGTAGTAAGAGTTTACAACATTCAAACTGGTGATTGCGTCCGGACTCTTGAAACTGAAAACCCTGTAAATGATCTTGTTGGTATTGAATTTCCAAGAGATGAAGACTACAACTTGTATGCGTGTTCTAAAAATGGAAGCATTATAACCTGGACTTGGGAAAATGGTGCAGTACTTCGCGAGACAGTAAGATTAATAACAGAATAGTTTTTATGGATATACTGTACTTCCAGGGCCCAAAAGTAAAAACTTCAGTTTTGTTGGTTGTAATTTCTCATTTTTGTTGTTAAAAAGGTTTCTGTTAACAACATTATTAAAAAAAATGTCACACTTATGCACTGGTAGCTTTTTAGAAAAAAATATTGAATTTTTTTACTTTTCTTATCAAGTTTTTGATACTTCACACTAGGTTAGGTTAGTGTTGTGACCATAACGCGCGAGCCGAGCGAGCAAAGCGAGCGTGCCGCGGCAGCGGCCGGCGAAGCGCCAGAAAAAAAAATCTGTTAAAAAGACCTTTTCTACAAAAAAAAAACAAGTATCACCTTTTAGTCCCTGGAAGTACAGTTTTACCGTTTTTATAATATCCCAAATCGGTATATTTCTATTAGCTTAGCCATTTATTGTTAGAGAAAAGAAAACGCAGTCGGCTGCATAACGTGTCTCGCCGTTTCGCTCGTGTTGCGTTGTATTGTACAGTTCTGTTTTGCTCTCTTGATTGAATATTTGTTTACAGAAGTGTGAGTGTGTGAGAGTTGCTTATATATATATTTTATTTTATGCTGGTATAAGCGTACTGTATCTTCCCTTTTTGTTTTAATCTAAGCCTATACCTCAATCTAGGTAAAAATCATTGTTGTGCTTAATTTCAGATTTCATTTCAGTGATTAGTTAACAAACTTCCAGCCTATATATAGTTCAATATTTGAAATTTTAATAGAATTGAGTATGATGTTTAATAAGTTACGTATTTGTTCTTTTTTTCAGAATCTTGCAATTCCAGATATGTCACATGTCATATCATTTAATTTAATTGACAGCAAAGAATGCTTCGTTACCACAGTAGCAAAATCAAATCGTCATTTAGGACTTCATACATACTCGACAAAGAATGGTGAAATATTGCAAGAATATAAGGCAACTAAGCCAGACTTTACAGACATGGTCCAAATTTCACTTGGTTGGTGTTATGGTGATAGATTTGCCGCTATATCCAATGGAACAAGGTTTATTTACATACAAAATCTTAAGCAACCTCATATGAAAACACGGTAAGTAATTTCTATTTTATAATTTACTAATAACTAATTTAACCTTTAATTCAATGTAGCAGGCGGTTAGGGTGTTCGACCTGTTATAGTGGAACTGTTTAGCACCCACTAATCGACATGTGCGTGTGGACTGAGTGATCTATTCAAAAAACTCATCCAACCACAACCAAATTATAAGAGAGCACTAGGCCTGCATGGTGGGTCACCCTCACTGCCCAATCTCCCTATTCCATCTATATGGAAGGCCTGTGCCCCAGCAGTGGGGACATTGATAGGCTGTGATGATGATTTTAATATTGTTTAATGAACATAAAATTGATTTTATTCATATTTTTTCAGGATATTAAATTACAACAAATTCCGTGTACTTGCAATAGCAGCCCATAGCACACAAAACGCTGTAGCCATATCAGACAGCTTAGGAAGGGTTACAGTCATCAGAGGCAATTTATATGATTCCAATAAAGCTGCCAGAGAAGTTCTGCATTGGCATTACTTGCCACCTTTAGCTGTGTGCTTTTCCGATCTTGGTAAGTGAATTCATTTGTATGGCTTCTGCTGCCCCCTGCAATCTGGCGCCCCGGGCCATGGCCCTATTTAGCCCAAGAGTAAATATGCCCCTGATAGTATGAATAATGTAGAATTGACATCATTCATTTATATTTCTAGTCACTTAGTACCAGAGATGCTCTTATTAGTTTTGATTCTTTTTTTGTGGTGTAGTAAGTGAATCTTTGAACATGTTTTAAAAATAAATAAGTGATAAAATTCGTGTAGCTCTTTCTCTCCATCCTCTAAAGTTGCTTAGAATAAATGAACTTGTACCATCTTTCTTTTCCATATGCAATTTCTCATCCATAGTTCAGAATCAGAATCATTTACTATCGGAGGTTGGAATAAATATAAGTAGTATAGCTAATACTATGGATATAATTATTTAAGTACTTTATATTAAAATTCAAAAAGTTCCATGAAATTAAACTCTAATTTGCTAATTTGTGTTTATCTAGGAAGTTATCTCTACTCTGGTGGAATGGAAAAAGTGTTAATCAAATGGACCACAGGTCATCTGACAAATAAGGCAAATGAGAAGATGTTCATTCCTCGGTTACCTGGAATAATTAGATTCATTACTGCTAATAATACACATGTTGCAATAACACTTACCAACAACTGTAAGTATATTAAATATTGACATTGTGGGTTACCTACAATGCGAAGAGATGACACTGCCTTGCAGCCTAAGGCTAGAGAAAATTCGACACGGCCATCAGAGCTGCGGTAGCATAATGGTCAGTGCATTCGCCTGGATAGCGAAGGGTACGGGTTCGAGTCCCGTCTGCTGCGTGGTCCGCGTGGAATTTTTTCTAGTATTCTTTTCCTTAGATTTAAACATCTAGCAGTTAAATGCTTATAAAATATATATAATAATAATAACATAATTGGAAAGTTATATAATAACTATATTATATAACTTTCCAATTATGGCATATCAATGTTATTAAACAAACTAGTGTGGAAATATTGGTTTTCCATACAAAATTCCACCCCCTTTTCCACCCCTTTTTAGGATAAAAATTATTGTATATCCTTTCCGAACTATCTAAATACCGCATTTCATTTAAATTAGTCAGTGTTTTAAGTGTGAAGACGTGTCAAACAGACACACTTTTGCATGCATGGAAATGAAAAAAATTTTTAAACTTAAACTTTCATAAAATGTTCCAATTCAATTCCAAAAACATCTTTAATGTAAAAGGTTTTTCTCATCAATGTTTTATGTGGTTATTATTTTATAGCTGTGGTGATAGCCAGTACTATGATGCGAGTAGTGTCAACCATACTAGAATGCGGTGGGCTGTCACCAGTTACAAGGGCTATTGGTACTTCTTTGTTGTATCACAAAAACTTAGGAGCACTGCTTATGGGTGGAAGGACAGGGCATCTGCAGCTCTACTCCACTACTTCCGACAAAGTTCTATACAATGTAAGAAAGTTTATTATTTGTAGTAACACTTGCATTATCTTACAGTTATCTTACTAAATAATAATAGTAATTCCTTTGCCTCAATATGAAAGTTTGAATCAGTATTTTCTTAAGGACTATACCATGAAAATATAACTCTTACTGTGAGGCAAAAGATATGTTGGATGCAAAAATAAAGATAATATAAAAATAGTTCGCATTATCAAAAAGAATTCATTGTTCAAATATTTAAATTCAAACTATATCTTCGATAGATATTAGCTGTCTCATTTTAGCTAAGCATTTCAAAGTACTCTACCAACATGGGTCAGTACTGTACCCTTAGCACGAACCATTAACGAATTCGTTACGTTTGCAAGTGCAAAATGTCAATATTAAATTTTGTATGGAAACACGAACAACAACAACAACGGACGTAACGTGACCCAAAAAGCAGTACACATTTGACGTATATTTAGATCGAATGCAACTATTCGAAATCGATATTAGTTCGGGCTAATGGTACTTATAATGTGTGTCAACAATAAGAAAATCTAAAATTTCAGATAGACATAACGAGAATGAACAATATACCTCCTAGTCGTTGGAACCTTCTACCAATAGAGGTAGAAGTGGCCTGCGCTGCCATCAGCGGCAATGGTTCCTGGCTCGTCACTTCCGAATACAGGAACGATGGTCACACATACCCTGAAGAAATGCTCAAATTCTGGCAATTACAACAAAAAAACGCAACCCCTTTCAAACTAAACACCTGTGTAAACCTCTCGCACAATGGTTGCAATGTAGTCTCTTTGGCTTTAAACAATAAAGGCGAGTTTTGCGTATCCGCCGGTGCCGACCAAAAGTTTCGGATATGGAAGAGGGAAAACAACAAATCCGCCAAAAGCTGCATGTGGAGTTGTTTGACAGCGTGTTACTATTCATCGGGCATAACGCAGTTCTTATCTAGTAAAGTTTTGAATAGTTTCAAAAATGGCGAATGTAACTTAACCGATGAGCCTGAAGAGTATACCTATTTGACAGATAATAAGAAAGGCGATATCATTCAGAAGCTCTTTAACATACACAAGGAGCAAGCTTTGTTTGATTCTGAAGCATTTAGTATGAATGCTAAATGTAGTGGAGAGAATGATATGGGCGGAGTGGCTATATCGCAGGATGGATCGCTTATCGCCGCTTGGTTTGGTTCTAAGTTAACACTGTGGGACACACATTTGTGCAGTCTTAGGACAACTTTATCTCATCCTGCTTTACGTCCTAAAGGGATACATGTGAAATTCGGCAATCAAGACGCTGCCCACTATGTAAGTAAAAAAATCCTTTTTGTGCTTTTTTTAAGCTAATCAAGCTACATCTCATTTGGCCACACACAGATACATTAATTAATTCCCTTGACAAGGGTTACCAACTTTTTTACTATCAAAGATAGTATTTTCGAAACGTTACTTCTAAAAATAAAGTAGCTGGCAAAAAATGGAAAAAATATAGTATATACTTAAAATATTTACTTTATCTTTGAAATAAATATATTTTTGCTGCTCTTTGCCTTACTAATAACATAATAATAATTTTTAAGAAAGCTTTTACTGTCAAAAATATGCTTTAAGCAAAATATAGTAGTTTCGCCTACTATGCCTAGAATTCTATATTTACCCTACCTTTGACCAACAGATAATTTTTGCGAATCAAAGGATTAGTATGTGCTGAAAATGTATACTGCGATGCATTTAATGTCTATTTCTATTATAGGTATTATATCGTAAAAAATAACTTTTCAGTTGGTTTGCACCACAGAAAAGTGCGTTGCAGTGTGGAGTATTTTATCGTTGACTGTAAAATGGCTGGTCCAAATAAATCCTACATACCTTGCAGCCGACCCATTTTCTAACAAAATGGCAATCACTACTTCTAATAATGATGGTAAGGAGAACGATTCATGATATAACCGTTTTTTTTTTTCGTTTTATAATTGCACAATATTGATGATAATGACTTTGATTCCGGCATGATTGTCTTAACTTGAAACTAAAGGGTCTCGCCGGGTTTCCATATGAAATCTGCACTGGCGTCTTTTTTGACATTGGTGCCTTTAAGATGTTGCTAGTAGTATAAAATAATTTTTGGCCAATTATCAAACCCCTAACTCCATTCGTTTTTGGAAAATGAGGGTTGCAACCCCTAACTTCAAAATTATTTTTCTACGAAACTATGATAGATATTCGCATGAAACTAACGCGACATGAAAGCTCTTAATTAGCTTTACATTACATATTTTTTTTAAATAACTATAGGGCTGCAACAAAAAATATTGAAAAAAATAGCGGTGGTTTTTAGTATCTAATTCTTGAGGTACACCGACCAAAAAAAACCGTATAATCAGTACGTATCCAACTATAATATGTAATAATTACATAGATGTGAGATAGGTGGAACATATTCAAAAAAATATGTAAGTGGACACATTGAATTCTAGCTAATTCAATAAATGTCACTTAATTTAAATTAATTTAAACAGCATTTTCCATGAAATATTAATCTTTTATTTCCCATATAAAAATATTGAATTAATTTAATCTTCGTCACTATTTTCTTCTATAGTTGTAGTGATATTTGTAACATCAAATATATGTGTTAATATTTCAGCGGGCTTGATGATCTTCAATTTGTAACGGCCATGTGACAAATAATAAATTATTGATGCTACATGTGAGCAACAACCTATAGTCCTATTTCCATTAGCACAATCACAGGTGTATCCCTTTATGCCCTTATAGTTGTTCAAACCAAATATTGGTTTGTATTCAATAAAACATTGATATGTCTTGCTATTGATGTGTCGAGAACGAACTTTCACCCTTATTATATAATCATTTTCTTTTAAGTATTCAATATTAATATTGTAGTCACTATCCAGCAGCTCAGCGAGGTAACATACTGCTTGTGACATTTGATATGTTCCTGTAAAGAGTATTTTGAGGTCTTTTTCGCTCACAAGTTCAGTCACACGGTAACATATTGTAACATATTTGAATAACCACATCAGAATTATTATAAAAGATTGTAAAGGCGTTTATTAATCATAATACGACATTGGAAAAATTTAAACAGACGTCAGGTTAGATCAAGTTTAAGTAACAAAATGAGATTTTTATTTTTTTGAATATGTTCCACCTATCTCACATCTATGTAATTATTACATATTATAGTTGGATACTTACTGATTATACGGTTTTTTTTGGTCGGTGTACCTCAAGAAATAGCTACTAAAAACCACCCCTTTTTTTTTCAAATTTTTTTGCACCCCTATAGTTATATAATAAAATATAAAAAAAATATGTAATGTAAAGCTAATTAAGAGCTTTTATGTCGCGTTGGTTTCATGCGAATATCTATCATAGTTTCGTAGAAAAATAATTTTGAAGTTAGGGCCCCCTTTCTCTCGGGCAGCCGTTGAGCCAGCCCTCGGACTGGCTGAACGGGTGAACGAGAGACGGAGGGGAGGAGTCCCACATAACTGAACCGCACTCCCAGGGCGGTGAGGTATGCGTAACGCATTTTCCTGACGTTAAAAAAATTTCCAAAAACGAATGGAGTTAGGGGTTAGATAATTGGCCAAAAATTATTTTAAACTACTAGCAACATCTTAAAGGCACCAATGTCAAAAAAGACGCCAGTGCAGATTTCATATGGAAACCCCGCGAGACCCTTAACATCAGCCTCTTTTTCATTCTGTATCGGAAATGACAAGGATACACTGCTGTCAAATTTAAGTGTAGGTTTAGGGAAACATGCCAGCATCGACACCACTGTTTTACTTAAGAAGAATAGTCACACACCCATACACACACGCACACAAACATAAACGGGATGATGACAGGATAAAGTAAACGAAATTCTATATAGTCACTCAGTCATGTATATCAAAAAATAATGGACACTTTTTTTTGTTGTTTTGTCAATCAGCCAAAAAATTACAAAGATAAAGCGCGTCAAAGTTGGGAGTAGGAGCTCATGACGTCACTCCCAAGTAAAAATTGTACCAAGATGTGACGACGCGACATGCGACATTTCAAATCAATATATCTCAGTAATGTTTTTATTATGTGAAAAAAGAAAAAAATACGTGACCTACACTTTTTGAAAATCTAAACTGCTTAATTTTCATATCTAAAAATATTATTTTGTTTTTTTTTTTAGTTTTTGTATTTAGTCCTCTCAGCTCGTCACCTATATTGTCAAGAAAGTGCTTGCTCAACCCGAAAACTGGCGTGTTCAAGCTATGCACCTTCGGGGATTCCCCTAAAGATGAAGTCAGACTCTACGTCATGAGAAATGATTCTGTGAGTATCCCTAAACAAATTAAGTTTTTCCTAAAAATAAAAGATAATAAAGAAAATAGTTTTAATATTAAATATGGTATTTGACAGTATGAAAATAGAGCCAATTGTTGGCATCTGTATTTAATATGAATATTAAAAGCATTTTTACTATTTGAGAGAAGAAACAATAAAATAATAACTTTTCTATCTAAAAAATCATTAAATAGAAATGAATTTTTTGATCTGTGTTTACGTGACCTACGCCTAGGATTGGTGTAGACCACAGAACACATAAAGAGGTTAGAATGGCCTTGTGGGCGGGGCAGGCGCGTCACAGTTATGAGCAAATGCTCATAACTTGACCGTAACGTCCGATCGCGTCGTTTAGTTGCCCGCGAACGCTCAGTGAGAGCGTATTGGGATTACCGCTTAAAATATGACTTCGTGTGCCGTAATTACTTGCAAAGTAAGGAGTCAATCGTCAAATCTACCTAGAGCAGGAATTTCTTTACATTGGTAAGTATAAAACTTCTTAGACTGATATTTCAGCAAAAATTCGCAAAATATTAATTAAACGATAAAGCACATATATATTTCCACACAAATATTCATTGCTGACAAAGTACGCTCGCTATTCTTTTTACGACATTCAAAACACGTAATGTAGTACGATTCGAGCAAGAATGACGCGTGGATCACAGAGTGCTGCACGTGGCCGGACGCAGTACAGAGTCATTGCACCTACTTTAGTGGTGTCTTGCGTCGTACATTTTACATTTTCGATAGATTTTATCGACTGAATTTTAGCACCTAATAATGGAATTAAAGTAACTTTTAGAAATAAATAAAAGCTGATTGTAAATGTTTATCATACTTATATTATAAAGGCGAAAGTTTGTGAGTTACTTCTTCACGTCTAAACGGCTGGAGCGATTTTAATAAAATTTGGTATTGAGTTAGCTGACACCCTGGATTAACACATAGGCTACGTTTTACTGCAGGAAAATATCCCTAATAAACCGCAGGTAACACCGCAGGGCACAGCTAGTACAATCTAAATATAAAGCGGAAGAGTTTGTTTATACTCCAGTCAAAATAGACATTTGACTTAGGAATAATTCGCATGGAGCTGAAAATTGGCAGAGACGTTAAATACATCATTATAAATAAAATGTCAAAAATTACCTTCGATCCTACTTCTGCAAAAAAAAAATATTCAACTCAAACTTATAAAATTATGGTTTAGTCCATTTTTCTCGAAAACGGTAAGTTTTGCCGTGAAAACAGGTCAGACAAAAGTTGTAGACCATACAATTCTCTACAAAAATTGTCTTGTCACTTTTTCTCTCACGACTCATTTCGATTCGTGGCATATTATGTAAAAAATGTATTTTCTAATTATTAAAACAGCGATATTTCATGAATGGTGTGTCTTGAGAGAAAAAGTGACTGTACCAGTTTAGTAGAGAATTGTATGATTTACAACTTTTGTCAGACCTATCTTCACGATAAAACTTACCGTTTTCAAGAAAAAATGGAAAAAACAGAATTTTGTAAGTTTGACCTTGAATATTTTTTTGCAAAAGTATAATCGAAGGGGATTTTAGACATTTTATTTATAATGATGTTTTTAACGTCTCTGCCAATTTTCAGCTCTGTGCGAATTATCCCTAAGTTATGACTTAGTTTTGTCTATTTTGACTGGACTATAGAGAGAATTAACTTGTCCACACAGTCATTAGAAAGAGCATGTAAAGAGCCATCTGAAAACGAAGAGGATGAAGATGAAGATTTTACTGATTTCAGTACACAAGTCATTGTGGGTCATGTCCTAATTAAAAAAATCAAATGTGATATTTGCCCTGGAGCCCTAATATCAGATTCAAGTTATAATTTATATAAATTTATTTCGTTAAAAGATAAAGCTGGCCTGATATATCCGTCCATGGTGATCTTATAAAAAAATGCAAAAGTGCAGAAACTGTAATACGACAATATGCACATAATTTAAAACTGTCAAAAAACGAAATTTTAGTCCCAAAAATAAAAAAAAGTTTATTGGCACTTCCCATTGTGAATTCCCATTATCTATCTAACCACGTTACAGATTCAATTAAAGTGGTAATTGAAAAATATATAGATATACGTCTATATTTCTTTTGAAAAATAACTTTAAAAAAGAAACAAAGCGTCACCTTTTTCATAAATATATATTGTTCATAAAAACTATCTGTAGTAATGCTTTTTACATTAAATCATTTTCTTTATCTTTACTGACTTTGGCAGTGAAGTGAAGTCAAGTCCAACTCGCATTTGGCATATTTAATATTGATAATATTTCATCGACTCAGTGTCAACCACTAGCGCTAAAATCGGTGTGAACGAATGAACGCTCACAGTCACGGCGGCTGTGAGCGCTGATTCGTTCGGTTGCTTGATGTCGCGTCGTTTAATTGGCTTATTATCTATTAGGTGGCAGTGTAGTGGGGGCGAGCCGGCGACATCGGTTCTCATACTGGCGATCCCTTATCACCCTTCTAACCTCTTTCTGTGTTCTGTGGTGTAGACTAAAATGACGTCACACGCTAGAAACATCCGGTCAAAGTGGCATTACACTGTATGGTTTGACGTTTTAATGACAGCTGCGTGACGGCACATGCTAGTGAAACGCCACAATATCCAGGGAAACGTATTCGCGGCAACTTGAAAATGAAAATTTTTAATTAGTTTTTTTTTTACTGAAATGCTCAACAGAATGTGGATATGGTGAATCAACTTTTTTTTGTAGCGAAGTGAAAAATTTTTGGAAATAAAAAATATCCATTTTTCTTACATTAACTAATTTGGTATGATGTGTTCCTTATTTATTGATCTATAATATTCTAAAAGGGCCTCAAACTTTAATACGTATTTAGCTAGTTATTAGGCTCAGAGTAAATTTGGGTCTCAAAACGGGTCTACTTGGGTGACTGATAGTTTGGTAAATTAAACATTAAAAATATGATAAATAAATTACTGTAATTTTAAGAAGTATACAGTATGTGAAGAATGATTTTGTATTATAAGTATACAGTATAATACAAAATCATTCTTCACATACTGAATAACTATCAAGTCTTTCATGGAATTTCTTAAAATTATGTCTTTGGAATCACTAATTGAAAATACACTTAATCTTTTTCATTATCTTAAAAAAAATGATTTTTCATAAATAAAACATGGGGCTTCTCCCATTAAATAAAAACTAGCTACATTAAAATCACAACATAGCAATGCTTGTCAAACTAATAATTTTAAAACAATCGGTACAACATCAGGGAGACAATTCGGTTTGTCAGGAGATACATACATTACTCAGGAGACATAGGCTAGTAAACAACTATATTAAGGGAAAGTTGCACCGAAATTGCAGCTATAGTAATTGTAAAAGTCAACTTTAGAAATAAATGAAACATTTATTTTCAACATTAAATCCTGAAGTAGACGGCTTTCGTCGGTCACCTGAAAAGTGAGTAAGGGGACCAGTGACCCAGGGGATAATTAACAGTAAAATGTTTATATCCGTATCATTATCTGTCAAATCAGTTAAATTCATATTGAAACGTCGTATTAGACTACAATCCTGTTATATTTCAGTTCAAGATGTGTTAAAAATTCAAAATACCTACGAAAGTACGTCGTCGCCCAGCGGAACAGCAAAAATCACCCCCGACCTCACTTCTGACCGCGGGCGAAATGGTCGAGTTAATTAACAGTCACGGGGATCACAACCTGGATCACGTGAGATCTAGAACGCTTGTTGATTGGCCAGCTGTGGTGCCATTTTACTTCCTAATATGCTCTAAATGTTGAGTAAGCAAGGGGACACTAAAATCACTACTCTGACAGGGACGCATATTTAGGATGTAATTGATGAAATAAATAAAAAAATATCTTGATTGTTTTTACATAAATTAAGAACAATAGACTTTTTCGTTTATGATGCAATATAACACTTGAAGGTCGTCATACATTATTTTTTACATCAGAGTTCGAAATGTAAAGTCAAGTTGCTGTGGGGACGCCAGATTTTTGTATGGGACCCCGAAAATGTCCTCTGGGTACCCAACCAAAAAACACAAGAAATAAATTTAAATGTTTATTATTGACTAGTGGCCCGCCCTCGCTTTGTTTCGGTGTAGAGCTGTAGTGTATATTATAGTTTTTGTTCAAAGACTTCTAATATATGTATACAATGACTTTCTTCATAATAATAATAACACACAGTCAGTCTTTGAGCTTTTGCATGGTCAGACGCGTATTTAATTTTCTAAAATTCTTTAAAAGTTATTTCATTACGTTTTGTACTCTTTACATCTTTATAATAGAGTGGGAATTGTCTTAGCCAGTAATAGTGTACTACTTCATCGTGTATGTGAAACGGATAATCTTTCATCTCAATCAGCCTAAGCTTCGTGAGAAATCGTATCCTTTCGCCGTAAGCTCATCACCATCAAGTGCGTAAGTGCAAAAAGGACAGAAGCTTTTCGATCCTGTCGTCGGTTGCAGCGTGACTTGCAAAAGCTAACTACGAACTTCATTGCAGTTAACAAGTATCGTACGCGGCCGAAATTAAATATGAGCGTAAAAAGAAGTCCTCCTAATAAAGGCACTGGATCGCAACCTGATTTAGCTAAATTACGGGATGAAAGCACTATTAATTTATTCATGCATAAAAAGAGAAAACTGTCAGATTGCCAATGCGATTACCAAGATATGTTTCAAGAATTTCAGAATAAAATCATGACCTCTATAAGTTCTACTCTGGAGATACAAAGTCAAAGTTTAAAGGGCACCCTGGATGCATTACGCGATGATTTTATTACATTTAAACAAGAAATACGTGACCTAAATGAAAAAGTTATAACAATAACTGCAGAACAGTTGGACATTCAAAAAATTCTGAGTGAGTTTTCATTGACAAATGAAAAAAATAATCACAAAGTTGATTCACTCACAAATGATGTTATTGAATTGCGTTCTACTATTAATACTTTAACTGAACAGCTTCGTGTAAAAGATCAGCAGGGGCGTATGAACAACTTAGAAATTTCTGGTATACCTATTGTAAAAGGTGAAAATTTGCACAATATTTTACACAACATTTCTACAAAGATAGGATTTTATTTAACCCCCTCCGACATTGATTATGTTCAACGAGTTCGGCGTTTCAACTCAGGTAAAACGAAGGAATCTTCCAATTCAGCAGACGCTTCGAATCGCGATACCACTGCAATACCGAATATTATTGTTAAATTCACACAGAGGAAGCGTAAAAGCGATATGCTAGCGGCGGTGCGTGAGCGAAAAGGCTTGACTACCTCCGATGTTGGATTGGATAGACCAGCCAAACCTATATTTATTAACGATTATTTGACACATTCGAGCAAATTATTATATAAGCAAGCCAGACTTCTCGCAAAAGAAAAGGATTATAAATACATTTGGTTGTCTGATTTTAAAATTCTTTTACGCAAAAGTGATGCATCCAAAAAAGTGTATATTATGAATGAAGGTGATCTTTCCAAAATTAAATGACTAATTTTATACTTCCGTCAATATCCATCCATAATTAATTATTTATATATAAGATTGTTTTCTTTAATTGTTTATAATTGCCTATATTACACTTGTCACGATTTACTTATAATAAGATCATATCATTTTGTCACTAAATTACACTTACACATTGTTTTTAATTACGTCGATGGAACTATTTTAATCAATATAATAATATATATTATTAAAATTCGATAACGATAATTTAACAATATACTATCAAAACGTGAGTGGCGGAGTGCTGATAGCGGTGCGCCGATGGGTGTCGGTGCCGCTGCGCTCGCGGCCGCTGGCTCGCGGCAGCGTCCCCTCCACCACCGTTGCCGCATCAAAACACGTTCCACAATACTTACACGTTATAACCACCTATATTCCTCATGGTAATAATTATAGCACATTGCTCACATCATTTTATGACAGAGCCAGTGATTTTATTAATCGTAACTCTGAAGATATATTTTTGATATTCGGCGACTTCAATATTTCTTACGCACAATGGATTTACGATACATATAATTTAGCTTGTCTTACCGACGATTTTATGGGAATATCTTTATTATCACAGTATAACAGCCAATTTAATCAAAACATTAAGCTTTTGGATTTAATTTTTTGTAACGAATTTTGTCAAGTATCACTTAGCAGCCACCCAATTGTGCCATGTGATCCTCACCACCCCCTACTAGAATTAGATTTAAAATTAATGATTAATGTAGCCCAAAAATAATAAAAAGGATATTTTGACGGAATACAGGCCGATTTCTAAGCTTTGTGTTTTGGGTAAGATTCTTGAAAAAATAATAACTTCGCAAATCACAGTAGCTGTTCGTAATTTTAAATCTCCCCAACAACATGGGTTTTTTAAGCATAGAAGTGTTGATACAAATTTGATCACATTTACAGATTACTTATTACAAGCAATGGATGAAAATTCCCAGGTGGATGTCGTGTACACCGACTTTTCCAAAGCGTTTGATAAAAATAGACATAATCTGCTTATTGATAAACTAATGAGGGTCGGTATACACGGCAACCTGCTGAGATGGATCGAATCTTATATTAAAAATAGATTTCAAGCAGTTTGTATCAAAGGTTTCACAATTCCTTCCTGTACCTTCAGGTGTACCGCAAGGTTCTCATTTAGGTCCTTTACTCTTTTCTTTGTATATTAATGACATCGGTGACGTTATCAAACATAGTCAGCACTTACTATATGCAGATGACGCAAAATTTTTTAAGGTAGTGAAATCTATGGACGATTGTAAGAAGTTGCAAGAAGATTTGGAAGCTCTGAGTAATTACTGTTCATCCAATCAATTGTTTTTAAATAGAAATAAGTGTTCTATATTATCTTTTACCCGAAAAATGAAACAGTACAACTTTCAATACACATTTGAAGGTAACAATATCAAGCGCGTCACTAAAATTGGAGACCTTGGTTTGATTATGGATTCGGAACTAACTTTTAATCCTCACATAGACCACATATTAAACTTAGCATTGCGTAGATTAGGATATACTAGTGGCCCGCCCTCGCTGCGCTTCGGTGTAGAGCTGTAGTTTAGATTATATTTTTGTTCTCAGGTTTCTATTAAACACAATGACTTTCTTTAAATACCTAATTACTAAAGACACGCGCCGCCGCCGGCCCCCCGGCCAGTACTGCCAGAACCGGTATGTTCCTGCATTTTAAATCTGTAATATCTTCGAAAATATTCATTTAAATTACATGCTGTAGATGGTTATATTGATCTATATTACACGCACAATGTATTTAAGGTACTTAATTGGATAAGGATTAATGCTGTATTGCTTAAAATCGCTTGTTCGTAAATAAGCCATTATTTTCTCGTAATAAGTAATTAAAAAATTGTTATTGTGGGTTATACCAAAGAGATAGGCATATACCATCGCGGATTTTTTTGTAGACCTTTTTAAGGTGTACAATACTGTAGTACATTATTTTGGTCTATCTCGTTGGGTTCAGCCAGCGTTTGCAATGTAAGCGCAAAATATTGTGTTTATTTATGACCTTATATTAAAAACCTCTAAAATTATCAGTGTTTCTCTATTATATTATGCATGTATTATACATATAAACCTTCCTCTTGAATCACTCTATCTATTAAAAAAAAACCACATCAAAATCCGTTGCGTAGTTTCAAAGATTTAAGCATACAAAGGGACATAGGGACAGAGAAAGCGACTTTGTTTTATACTATGTAGTGATACTCAGAATATGTAAGCCTTTCAAAGAAATTATCACCCTTAAAATTTTATATTTTTCTTACGTCAGGTCTCTTCTAGATTTTTGCAGCACGGTTTGGAGCCCATGTTATCTAAAACATATACAAAGATTAGAAAGAGTGCAGGGTAAGTTTATTAAATCTCTTAACTTTCGCAACAATGTAGCCGATGAATCATACAGTGAAGCTTTGGTTAGATATAAACTGCATAGTCTTTCTAATCGTCGTAAAATATTGATTCGTCCATTCTTATCAGCAAAATTTCCATTTTAGCACGAGTTCGTCTCCCGGTGCGCTCCTCACGTAAATTGCAATTTTTTGTTCCTTCGTCGTTACGCAAAAACTATACACGTAATTCTTATATGTGTCGTTCCACCAACGTTTATAACAAAGAGTTCTCCGATTTGGATCTTTGTAATCTATCTATCAATAGTTTAAAAAGAAAACTAAATTATATATTGATGGAAAAACCAAAAAAATAGTGTTTATGAAAATTTCTATTTGTGTTATAAGTTGTTAACATTTAATGTCAATAAATTGTTAGCATTAGATGGATACACGTGCAAATCTGACTATGTTGAGACTCTATTTGCTGCTATAAATGTAATAAACTTTGGGCACTGTTTGGTCTATTAATATTAACATATATGTAGGTACTTCAATATTATGTAAATGACTGTTTGTTGCCAAAATAAATGAAAAAAAAAACCTTCCATTCCAAGTAAAAAATTCGTAACGTAAACCACGTTACGAATTTTTTACGGACCCGTTGTACCGAATGCAAAATTGTTCTGCTGTTCCGATTTGAAAAAATATTTTTGTATTGGACAGTTCATTTATCGAGGAAGGCTATATATTACCACGCTACGACCAGTAGCAGCGGAACATCGATGAAAAATTTTGCAGAAACGGGTAAAAATATTCCATTTGTGAGATTTCGATTCCGTTGCTTGCGCTGGGTAAACGGTTAAAGTTACACAAAAATCATGTTTGACGGAATTCTTCCCCTTTAAAAGTTCTGTAAAAAAAGTCTACGACAGCCTATGTACATATTTTAAGTTTGACTCACTATACACCTGTTTCTTCAAATTAACGCGGGTGAAACAGCAGGGACCTCTCGTTGTGACATAACTGTAATAGTTACACGTTGACATATGGTATTGCGGACTTTTTTTGTAGATATTGGTATCTTCTATAAAACTTTAGTACATCACTTTGCTCTATTATCAATGACTTCTGCAGCGTACACGATATAAGGCTATTTTTTGGTATTTTTTACACACGTTGGGCTACATTATCGAAGTTTTCATACAGAACCCTAACTTTTTTGAAAATACAACTCCTGGGACAAGGAAAAACAAAAAAAAAAGTTCACCCATATCCACTTTTTATGGACTACGAGATCGTTTTCTAAAACTTGTCAAATACTCTAAAGGAATTAAGGATAGCGCAAGTGGTTAGCGCTTTTAATCTGCGATCGTGGAAGTTAAACAATTTTCGCACTGTCCGGTTTAGATTTGAATAAGTATAATTAATTGTTTCAGGAAATTTACTGCTTAGAGCCGGAGCATAAAAAAGAAGGTAGTCTAGAAATGATCAGTCGCCGCAGTCTCCCGGCATCCAACTTCAGTACTTTATTAGCAGAACACCAACTGTCAGAAGTTAAACCCGCTGCGCCTTTGGGCGCAGAATCCTTAGATGTAACGTCGACAGAGCACACGGCTATGTTACAGGTAATATATTATTTATATACTTCCGGATGCATCTTTCGGCCCACTTAGTGATATAAGTTTAAACGGTCTGTAGCAAAAACATATGTTTATGGTTGAACTATAATTTTAAAAACACACGAAAAATCAGCTTCAAAACTTCTTCTGTTTTTTATAATATAATTATAATTTATTATATTAAATTATATTAAAAAACAGACGAAGTTTTGATTAAAATTTATCCATAAACCAAGCCTTACAGTGCTTATGATTATAACTAGCGGCCGCCCGCGACTTCGTCTGCCTTTACTTTAGTTTTATGGGAATCCCAAAGAACCCTAACATTTTTGCGGGATAAAAAGTATCGGTCATAAACTATATGAGTACTAAATTTTATCCAAATCCGTTCAGTAGTTTTTTCGTGATTGAATAACAAACACACAGACACAAAAACCTTCACATTTATATGGTAATATTAGTAGGACTTATTTTAATCATTACATCAAATTATATTCAAATAATGTTGTTCCAGTTCTTGAGTTCTTCTTCACACATGGTGCCGCCGGTGAGTTTGCTTTGCACATCGTTCCTCCAGAACATGGCAGGACAGCAAGAACCGGAGGAGACTAACGAAGACGAGCAACAAACCATGGACGTAGATTTGGACTCTGATAGCGAATCAGAAAACGTTCCCATGCTCAACGGCCCGCTAGCACCAAAAGTGACGCAACTCTGGACCCCCAACTACGACGATATCAAAGAGAAGCGTATGAACAAAATCCTTAAAGAACCGTTCTTGGACTTGCACGCAACCGAATCTATGTTCAACTCGTAATATTAAGGGAAATGTTAATAAATTCTTTAATCATACAGTTTTTTTGTTACTTTTATCTTTGGATAATAAAATACCATGGACGTAGATTTGGGCTCGGATAGCGAACCAAACACGTTCATATGCTCAATGGCCAGCTAGCACTGAAAGTGGCGGAACTCTGGACCCTCAACCAGTGCCGTCTTTTAGGCCCTGGGCATATTAACTGCCCCCAACTACAACGATATCAAAGAGAAGCGAACGAACAAAATCCTAAAGCAACCGTTCTTGTACATGCGAGAATCGAAGTTCAACTCGTTAGGAAATGTTAATAAATTCTTTATACAAAATCATACAGTTTTTTGTTACTATATTTATATTTTATAAATAATAGTCTATAATATCACACGCACGAAAAAAGAAAAATAGTCCAGTCAACAAGTTCAAAAACGTGAAAAATAGAGATAAAGCTCCTAAAAATATGAGCAATAGCTCATTGGATTCGGAACGACCTCTAGAAAAATGAGTTTTGAGGATTTTACTGCACGTAAAAAATTGCAATTGTTATTAACAAAATAAGATGAAAAAAAAGAGGTATTTACGTTTTTGTTAATAACTCATAAACTATTAATATTTACGATATTTGGAAAAAAGGTCCTTAAAGAGGAGGAAATTTCCGAAAAAAAAGTCCCAGCTCCCGGAACTCTACCTCTATTATTTATAATTTTAATTTAACGCTGAAAATAGGGCTCCGCGCAGCCATTACGGCATGGGCGCACTGCCGTCAAAGACAGTTTCTTACATAAAATTATTTTTTTATAGTAACAAATATGAATTTAAAAATTTAAATAAATTATGGTGTCATCCAGATACTTGAAAGAATATATTCCCGTTGGAAAAATTTTTTTAAATTAATTTTTCAAAAAGTTATGGAATTGTTAATTAACGAATTTTTTTCCTATCTCCGTTTTCATAAATGACGACATAAAAATTTAAATAATAAACCTATAAATTTTTGGCTCTGTGGAGCTCTTCTTATATATATACTTAACAAGATCCCGCGATAAAAGTTTATTAAAGTTAATTATTTTGTTTATAACAATTTTTTAAAGTTAACAAAAAATGAAAAGTCTAAGAAATGTTATTAAAAAAAATTTTTTAAACAAATGTCATATTATTGCTGCTTTCTTATCCAACAATGGCATTAAGTAACATCGGAAAAAAAATTTTGACATCATTTGTTAAGAAATTGTTTATAAACAAATAGACAAGTTTAATATTTTAAGAAATTTTTTTTTACCATTATGTTGTCTTGGCAAAATAATGATTTTAAAAAAAAAAATTTTCTTAAATAATTTTTTTTATTGTTTATAATCGTTTTTTTATATTTCGATTGTTTAAATAATACGTTAAGGAATGATTTTCTCTTTAAAAATCATAATTGGCATTTCTTCATAGGTAAATAGAAAAAAAAAAATTTTTTATCAATAATTTCATTGTTTGTTAACTTAACAATTTGTTATAAACAAATTCTAACTACCGTTATATTGTTTTTTCCAGAGCTAAAAAAATAACAAAAACAGCCATATATATCAAACTACTAAAAAATTTTTTTTTCTAATTTTTATAACGCTTTTAAATATTACACGATACCAAAGTTGCACCGGACACTTGATTTGTCAAGTAAAAAATTAATATAACTTATAAACTATTCGAGATACGATAATGGACATTCAGGTCGTTTTTATAAAGCATTAATTAATCTTCAAAATAAGCTAAAAACCAAGTTTGTAACTATATGAAAATATAAAAATATGGTTAACATGTAAAAATTTAGAAGATACGGCAGATCAAACTACAAAAAATATGAAAAAAAATACTTAATGACATCGAAGAAACTATTTATTTAAATAAATGATAAAATCAGTTTCACTTAGAAGCTATAATAACTTATAATAATGTAGAGAAAATTAAAAAATTACAAAATGAAGGTAAGTGTTAGATAAATATTAAATAAATATTTATTAAATCACGTATATTGTTTAAACAATTAGAGATGGAGGTACGATTAATTGATAATTTGGGAGATAATGTATCGCTAAACAAAATTGTTTTAAGGTTTATAGCTGTATTTTAATTATTTATTAAGTTGTAAGTCATAAGAGTTACGAAAAAGTTAAAGAAATCTCAAAATTTTATAAACAAATGCATGTATTAGCTGATAAACAATAGCTACAAACTTAGTTTTTAGCTTATTTTGAAGATTAATTAATGCTTTATAAAAACGACCTGAATGTCCATTATCGTATCTCGAATAGTTTATAAGTTATATTAATTTTTTACTTGACAAATCAAGTGTCCGGTGCAACTTTGGTATCGTGTAATATTTAAAAGCGTTATAAAAAATAGAAAATTTTTTTTTTTAGTATTTTGATATATATGGCTGTTTTTGTTATTTTTTTAACTCTGGAAAAAACAATATAACGGTAGTTAGAATTTGTTTATAACAAATTGTTAAGTTAACAAACAATGAAATTATTGATAAAAAAATTTTTTTTTTCTATTTACCTATGAAGAAATGCCAATTATGATTTTTAAAGAGAAAATCATTCCTTAACTAATTATTTAAACAATCGAAATATAAAAAAAACGATTACAAACAATAAAAAAAATTATTTAAGAAAATTTTTTTTTAAAAATCATTATTTTGCCAAAACAACATAATGGTAAAAAAAAAATTTCTTAAAATATTAAACTTGTCTATTTGTTTATAAACAATTTCTTAACAAATGATGTAAAAAATTTTTTTCCGATTTTATTTAATGCCATTGTTGGATAAGAAAGCAGCAATAATATAACATTTGTTTAAAAATTTTTTTTTAATAACATTTCTTAGACTTTTCATTTTTTGTTAACTTTAAAAAATTGTTATAAACAAAATAATTAACTTTAATAAACTTTTATCGCGGGATCTTGTTAAGTATATATATAAGAAGAGCTCCACAGAGCCAAAAATTTATAGGTTTATTATTTAAATTTTTATGTCGTCATTTATGAAAACGGAGATAGGAAAAAAATTCGTTAATTAACAATTCCATAACTTTTTGAAAAATTAATTTAAAAAAATTTTTCCAACGGGAATATATTCTTTCAAGTATCTGGATGACACCATAATTTATTTAAATTTTTAAATTCATATTTGTTATTATAAAAAATAATTTTATGTAAGAAACTGTCTTTAACGGCAGTGCGCCCATGCCGTAATGGCTACGCGGAGCCCTATTTTCAGCGTTAAATTAAAATTATAAATAATAGAGGTAGAGTTCCGGGAGCTGGGACTTTTTTTTCGGAAATTTCCTCCTCTTTAAGGACCTTTTTTCCAAATATCGTAAATATTAATAGTTTATGAGTTATTAACAAAAACGTAAATACCTCTTTTTTTTCATCTTATTTTGTTAATAACAATTGCAATTTTTTACGTGCAGTAAAATCCTCAAAACTCATTTTTCTAGAGGTCGTTCCGAATCCAATGAGCTATTGCTCATATTTTTAGGAGCTTTATCTCTATTTTTCACGTTTTTGAACTTGTTGACTGGACTAAAAGGAATATAATGATCATAGGTACCAATGCACATTATTATTAGTAAAGGACATTGCTCGTTCCCCATACATTGAATGCCCTAGATCGCCCAGCAATGAGAAAATGCTAGTTGTGTTCGGAATCATTCATAAACTCTAAATAAGCATTTGTTGAGATACGGACAACTTGAGGAACCGTGGCCTACTACAGAATGTATTAGATTTTGAGGTTATAATTATTATACTTAATCATAAAAGATGTACACTTTATATATTCTGAATAGATTTAGTGTTTACCCCTATGTAAGCACTTAAATAATATGCATTAAATGAACATAAAATGCAATTTATAATAAAAATAATAAATGCATAATATACTATATATATATACATAATATGCATAATATAATAAATTCATATTGATTTTACCTGTAGTAAGTAATGATAGATTTCTTTTCAAATGAAATGTTCAGTCTTTCCATTTACCTGTTTCTATATTTTACTAACGGTAATTAGGTATGTAGGTACCTGGTTATCATTGTGATTTTCATAAAAATAAACAGATATTACATGGGATGAGAGTATAAACTATCTTTAGATAATTTCAGAAATAATCTTTTTATAAATATAATATAAATACTAGTAATAAGTATTATTAACTAAGGTACCTAGTTCTATTTTTATGTTGATAAATACCTATGGTCGCCTATATTGCATTACTAAGGTAAACAATCTTGGCACAACTTTTTAACAGAATCACCCATTTAATAATAAAATATTAACGAAGAAAATAAACTATTAAAATAAATCGTTATTATAGACTGAAACCTATTGAATCCAGTTATCAATTGATTTTTAATGCTGTATTTTCAATAAAAAGGAGTGCCAAGTTGGATGAACAGATTGTAGTATCTAGTAACAGAACTTTTATTTTTTAAACAGATTGTCCGTTTACTATGATTAATTGCTAATAAGTTAAAAAAATAATAGAAAAATAATAGTGAAGGACATTCTTCTGGGCATGCTAGGGCCGATTTCGTCGATGTCCTTTAGTACATATCCTTTTTCGTTTTATTAATTTATCTTTAAAGTCAGATCCATGTCTGTTAGCATTATCATCATTAGGTAATGATCAAACAAATTAAATTCAAACAAACAAGATGTGGTACAGTTATATACAGTTCATAATAACGAAAATGAACGCCCTCACTATTTGAATCTGGTTATATTTGCGATTCGAACCTTCAATCTCCGAAGATAAATTGGCTAGATCCATGATGGATCTAGTGAGGGTTTACATAAGCCAAAAACACTAAAAGAAAATTAAATATCTACGCAGTTGGAGTAATTTTTTTTGGATGCGAGGATTGCACTAAACCAATCCACTGACGAGGAGCGAACATTTTGTGCAATCTTATTGGGTAATATTTTTCCGTTTATCCGCACCGCAGCCT